CTTGAGATTTTCTTTTATGTACACCGCACGGACGATAATTTTTATTATTTTATGATTTAATCTTTTGTAAACGTAATTTTCTAAATTTTAACGCGTGTTTAATGCCAGATAAAACAAGTTTAGTCATGTGTCTGATTTTTGGTGGCTGTTGGTTATGATTCTGGAACACCTGGTTTGTGTTTGCACCGCGGTCCGCCATGTTTGCTAAGCGCGATAGTGAAATCAACGAGAAGATGTCGATAGAGTCATAAGAATAGAGGGCATTTATTCACGTCCTACTTGTTTGTTTGCACTATGCGCGATTGCAGCCTGTTTGTGTGCGATGGGCAAATATTACGCGAATTTGGCAAATATTTGTTTATAATACCATCAAACGTAATTGTTTGGCCAAGAGTTAAAAGTAGTCTCTATTGTTAAGTCATCTTAAAACTAAAATTAAATAAAAACATGAAAAAATCATATTGACATTGATTTAACCTCAAATTTTTAATTTTTTGTTGTTTTGATACTTTAAACACATTGTATGGAATGAAATTTAATCCTTTCTGCAGCTGATGAATGAAGCTCACATGAGCTTTTGTCGATGTGAGTTCACGAGTTCAGTGAATTGAATGATTTGAATCTCAATAAAAAAATGTCAAGGACAAGTTGTATTTGTAAGACATTCAAAGAAAAAGAAGGGCCAATGGTCATAATTCACGATCCCTTGCTAAAGAATTAGGTCATACACGTTCCACATATTTATTACGTCTTAAATTAATTTTTTTTTTCAATTTTTACATACAATATGTCCAAAAAAACCAAAAATAAAAAGAATTTAATTTAAAAACAATAATTTTTTGTGATGACAAATAATCCATTCATAAATAAAATTGATTTATTTATATACAAATTGCATAATAGCAATACATTTTCGGCGACCCACTCAGAACCGCATTGTTTTGAATAAAATTGACGTCATCACATAAATCACACACAAAACAGCTATATAATTACAAACACATTGTATATTTATAGTTATTACAGTTGAAAATCAAGGATGACACAATTATAATGCGAAACAAATTGGATTTCGAGACAATTGTTTGACCGGCCGAAATTTAATGCATATTTAAGTTCGGTTTGAACTCGCGTCTAATTCGACGTGATTAGAACATCAGACAGTCGATTAAAATGGCGACCACATTAACATCCGCTGCTAAATATTACACACATATACAGGGCGTTCAAACAATCATTTCTATTATACTAAAACTAGTAATAAAATTTTAAAAAACAACAAAAGTGTATTTAATATGCTAATACTCGTTGATTTATTCCATACACTTGCACAACGACAAAGTGTTTTGATTTTCGCGTTCAAGGTCTTTTTTGTTTTTGGTGATTTTCGCCGTTAAAAAACGCGCATCTGGCATCGCGACTTCACCGCCATCAAAATATCGAATAAACAACGCATAAATTCCATAAATATCCGAGTCAAGTCGCTATAATCTGTAAATTTAATATTTTTACTTAAAATATTATACAGAGTGTTTCAAAAACATTCTAAACACTTTTTATTTATTTTACACATATTTTGACCATAATAACACATTGTATATACTTAATATTCTATCATGGTAAACACCGTAGAGATTAGCACCGTCCCATCGAATAAATTTCGTAGTCGCGTCGAATATCCGCCATGATTCGTATCTAATTGAAGTTGCAACCATCATCAACATTTTTTCATTTATTTTTATTTATTTCATTTATTTCCATTGTATTTCGCTGCACAATTTGTTTATGTGTATTACTTATTCATCACAGCGTTTATTTATGTTGTTGTTAAATAATTCGCGTGAGAAATCCGCCACATTAACGTAAATAATGCGGTGCATTTCTCGAATAATGTCTGGATCGCACTTTTTTATCGATTGCTGTTTGCTGAACTGTTAATGCCGTTGTTCTTTTGCGCGCGCGGTCCGTAGCCGTTGCCGACTTTTTTGTTTTCGTTGCGGCGATGTCGTGTATTCAACGTTTTGCTGAAATAAGCAGGAAATAAATATTCGCGCGCACGTAGTGCACATATTGCAAAGCTGTAAACTTATAAATCCCAAATTTTTTACTACCTGCATCATTATTCCGACATTTTTCATTTTTTTCTTCCTAAACTCTAAAATATATTCATAAAATTTTAATGTATGCAACCAATAGTACATAATATGTTTTATTATGTCATTTTAACACATTATGAGATTAATATTGATGAAATTATGCATTTGAGATGTTTGTAAATAGTTTAATTGAGCGTAATGAAGTGTAAACATACATATGAAACGTGTGATTGGTTGCATATTGCATGCTGCTCTTGAGTGAACAAAAAAATTAAAAGAAAGCGCATATGTAATAAGCCAGAACAAAACCGTGCAAACAGAATGTGTAATTAATTGCATAAGACAACGATTTTCACTTTATCGCTGCTCAGGTGTTATCGCACAGTGAATTTCATTGTGTAATTGCGTCTATAGGCAACCAAAATTACAAAATCTATAAACTTAGTTTTTATTATTGATTTTCGTTCTTAATTTGTACGCACATTGTGTTTTAATACGAAAACGCCAAGTTTTAACAGCGCAATGAATGTTTCGGTTTGGAAATAACACGTTTTGCTCTCGTTTTCGCACGTTCGACACGCCAAACTCGTAAAATCTCGCATTCAAAACATACGCACCGAACCAAAAACAACGCCGCATGCTTTTTGAAAAAGTTCAAAGTCATAAAATGCAACGCATTCGTTTGCACGCATTCGACGCGGTCCTAAAGTGTAAATAATGAACCAAAAAAATCAAAAAATAAAAAATAAAAACTCAGCGACGCCATTTTGGATGTGGCGATTGCCGAAAATAACGTGTGAGTGTGCAACAGAAGCAAGCGTAGTTTGATGTGGAAAGGGAAGAGAAGCGAGTCGCGAAACAAATGCACACACATTCGGCGATTTTTATTCGGCCTCAAGGCCAAGGTCAGAACACTTAGCGCGTTGACAAAAAACACAAGCGGGGGCCACTCGAACACGAAACCGAAACAAACTTTCAGTTTCATTTCAAGTCTACTACTTACAAAATAACACTTCAAAACAACATAACCAAACATAAACAACTTATTACTATTAATAACCAGATGGCGACACTTATACTCACATAAAAACTTGAAAATTTAAAAAATTGATAAAAACACTCATAACAAAGAAGAATGTGTTTTGTTCGTTTGATATTTACTTAAATTATCAACAAAACAAACAAAACTCGCATATTAACACCTCAGCGTGTCTTTTTTCACTCAAATATGCGGCGTAGGTTGATTTTAGTGATTACACCGACACAAACAGCGCTTAAAAAACATCTAATACACAAATAATTGAATATTATGAGCATTGATAACACTGGAGTGCGGTTTATCAAGCGAGTATGTTTGTAGCATTAACATTGACAATGAAATAAAGGTTAAACGAGTTTCATTGCTTTTTCGGTGGGTCGCTTGTCTATTTTTAGCGTCGGGCGCGCGCGCGATGCTTTTTATTATTCACTGCGACGAGCATGGTTTTTGTTTTGTGATTACGAACGCGTTCATTTGTAACAATACGTCATCGGATATCATCAGAAATATTGCAACACACCAGATACATAATAAAATGTAATTAAATCACGAATTGTGACATCTGGCGGTGAATTATTGAACTTATTTAACCTTAAATTCATGTGATTTGTAGCATTTGTCTAAATCCCTACAAATACGTGTGTTGTGTGGGTTGCCGGCAGCGAAGTTTGTTTTTATTAAGTCTGGGGACGTATGATGCATGCGAGCATCATCTACATATTTATGCAAAGGGGATATCTTATAGAAAAATTGACTTATTGAGTGGCAATGATAAATCGATGGCATTAGATGGCGAAATAAGCTAAACCCTCCGCCGCGCCAAGCGTGAATTTGTGTTTTTTCCACGCACACATGATGTGAATATCGGCATTTCGTATGCAACACTTCACACTTCCACACACACACACACACACACATCCAACACGAAAAGTTTAGAGCGCGCGCTGAGCTTCAAGCTTGACACGAATAAATTCGCGCATGAATATTCGAATTCCGGCGTGTGCGCATCATATCGGCAAACTTCATGAATATCGAATGGCTTATTTATATCCAGCAAGTGTATACGAAGTGTAAATTTGGTTGCCTAGCTTAGGATTTTCGTTAATTTAAATTTTATGCTTTTTATTCGTTGATTATACGCGCGCTCATTGTATCCATCGTCGTATTTCAGCGTTTAAGAACCAAAGACAATTCAAGGTAGTTTACAGGCATCATAAAGTCTTAATATAATTAAGAGATAACAACACCTCGCTCCGCCACGCGCTGCCATTCTCTCAACCACCCTAAACAGGCGTTGTTTTAATCCTTCGCGCTCCTCAGAGCGCCATTCAAAGCGTGTGCAACGTGCAAAAACTGATATCGCACATCGTCGCCCTTCTTGTACGAATAAAATCACGCACCCAATCTCTAAGCGGTGTATTCTTGCTATTTATGAGCATTAACACAGCGTTGAGTTAATTTATACATGCTTTTAGTGAAGAAAACATAGTTTAAAACTGTTTTTTACAGGTTTCTGCTTAAATTCAAAATGGTTGTCATGTTGTTGCTAGGCAACGAGTAAACAAGTAATGTTGGTTGCGTGTTTGCATAGCGTGGCCGTGAGTCGTCGGTCACGGCCGGTCGAGAGTGAAATGAGTCTGGCGGCGGCGGCGTTGTTACGTCGCGACGCCGCCGCCACCGGCTGCGCTTGCGTGCGCGAAACCGAAAGTGAAAAGGGAAACCCGCGCGGCTCGCGTGAGCTTTACCTGCCCCCACCATTGCGCGCGTTGGTTATGTGTGTGTGCGCGATGCCCCCTACCTTTCCCTTTCCGAGCACTTTCCCCGACGATGCACGCACGCCGCGCCGCCAGCGTGCAGTAGGCTGCCGAGTGAGCCGCTTGCAAGACGTGTGCGCTCAGTGCCAAGGTCAGCAGCAAGTCGCAGCGACGAACACTCTTCTCTTCTCAACAAAAACGCGCAGTTTCCAAACTTACCAACATTATATAAAAACTTTAAACACTGTCAAAAATCATCCTTCAACAACAGTCGTAGTGTTTTAGTGCGTGATTTAGTGTGTAAAAACAATGATTCAACGAGAAAACTAAACTTACCTTCGAAGAAAACCGGTGGAAAACAATTTTTGCGTGTCAGTGCTGTCGAAATTCTTCACGATTTTTGAGGTTAGCTTCGGTCCGTTGAGGTTAAACGCAGAGGGCGCTGCGATGGCACCGCGCCGGCATCACGTGCAAGGCCTGCTAAGTGTGATGGACGCCGGCAGCGACGAACTGCAATCGGTGTGTTCGGCGGCGGCGGCCGTTATAGGCACAGGCGTGACACGTTGCTGTGTACCCACCGGTGACTGCCTCCGCGCGCAGCAAAACCTCTCGCCCAACAACAACGACCCCATGCTGATCTCCCTCGATGATCTGCGGGACACTGTTCGCGTCACATGTAACAACGAGGCGTGCCTGGTCGGACGGTATATGCATCGCGAGTGTTTCGACCAGTGGGAGCAGACGGTCTTAGCTTACCTGAAGACATGTGGCCGGGCGCGTTCGTGGTCCGAGCGACAACGCCATCAAAATCTCTGGACGAAGAAAGGCTATGATCTGGCGTTCAAAGCATGCGGGTGTCGATGTGGTCGTGGGCATCTCAAGAAAGACTTGGATTGGATGCCGCCGCCTCCGACGAGTAATATTTTCGGGCGTGTGGAGGAGATTGATGCGATTAATGGCTCGGGAGCTGGCGTCGTCGGCGGTGGGAAGAAGAAAAAACGCCGCAATCGGAACGCACGGCCGGTGTTGGCGATTTCGGCGCATCATACTGTCGCCGCCGTCGGATGCATGGAGACTCGGGGGCGGGCGGGGAGTTTGTCTTCGAGTACTGGGTCTTCTTCACCGCCAGCTACAGGGAGTGAACCGAGCGTATCGCCTGTACATGCTCATTCGAAGAAAAAGAGCAAATTTGAATTCGCCGATCGAACAAGGTAAGAAAAGCATAATTTTTTGGGTAATTTAATGGGGAATGCGTTTTTGAAGTGATAAACTTGGTGATAAGTTTGATGGTTTTTGAGTTATTTAGGAAAAATTGTGTAAAAAAGTAGTTTTTGTGGATTTTCGGCATTTTTATTGTTTTATTATAATTTGCGGCGTGAAAACTTCTGGAAAATGCATGAATTTGATGGAGAATTTAATGGAGAATATATTCCTGAAAGAATTTTGGTGCTATGTTTTGGGATTTTTGGGTTATTCAGGAAAATCTTATGCAAAAAAGTTGTTTTTTGACAATTTGAAGTTTTTTCGCATTTTTTGCGTTTTGTAAACGCTTAAGTTGGTGAAATGACATTGGAATTTATTAATATTATGGAGAATTTAATGCCGAATGTATTCCTGAAAGAATTTTCTTGCTAACTTTTGGAGTTTTTGAGTGATTTACCGAAAACTAGCAAAAAAATAAGATTTTTTCTATTTCACCTGTTTTTTTCGCATTTTATTTTTTAAAAATCTTTGTAACATAAGAAACACTGACTAAATAAGTAAAAATCATCAATTTTTTATTAATATAATGGATAATTCATTGACGAATGCATTTTTCAAAGAATTTTTGTGCAAAATTTTCGAGTTTTCGAAAAATTTAACGAAATTTCCTGCAAAATCTGTTGTTTTTCGTCGATTTGAAGTGTTTTTCCGCATTTTACACCAACTCGCGACATGAAAACTCCTAGAACATAGTAAACACCGGGTCTGAGTCATTGTTTCGTCGGGTAGGTCAAGGCGCGCACGACGTAGTAGCGCCGGCAGCAGCAGGCACGCACGCACACGCCGGTTGAGCGCGAGAAAGCTCATCGACTGCAGGCGGCAGGCCTGCAGCAACAACATTCTGCGTGTGCCGCCGCCGCCGTCGTGTTGTCGGCGCGGTAGGCCCCCGCCTATCGATTTCCTCTCGGGACGCCGCTCGCCGCCTACCAAACGCAAACGCACATTTTCTGCGTCAAAAAGTTTGCCGGCACGAAAAATGACCTAGGCACATTCGTAGAAAAAAAACAATCGAGAGAGAAAAGAATGAGCAACGCCAAGTGCAGGAGTGCGCAAAAAATAAGACGCTGGGATCGAAGTAGAGGAGAGGCAAAAGAAACTCTTAGCCGAAATAAATATTTGAAACATGCCAGCGACCCGCACATAAATAATGCCACTCTTTTGGGTGTTCGGTGCGCAAAAAATTCATCTCGGGTTATGTGTATGTAAGGATATCAATAAATAAAAGCACACAAAGTGTCAATAGAGATAGTCCTTGCAGAGATCAAATTTTTCAATGCAGTGGAATCCTATATAAATGCGAAAAGTTAAGTTTCAGGGAGCAAAAAATCACTTTCCAAGGCAAAAAAGCAGAAAAAAAATTAGAATCGGGCGTATCGCATCGTTGGTGATAAATTAACTGTAATAGGTGTTACGTCGACGACGCGCCAAGGTCGAGAAACTTTCGCAGGCGCCACCACCACACACAGCCACCGTCGCCGCCGCCAACAAGCCGCCTACTCGCAGTTAATCGTCCTGAAACTCAACCAGATTTACAAGTTTATCACATAAAAAATATCAAGAACACTCTGTATATGGATGCGAATGTAAATCAACTCCTGATTGCCTTTCGACGATGCGGTGTGGCGGCGGCATGTACACGAATGGACAAACTAATTATCCTCGGCAAATCCGATCCGCACAAGAGGATCCATTATCCTTAAACTCTTCGACACCATTAATCCTAAACGTTCTCTTGACTTTTTAGATAAAAGTAAAATTTTTTAAATTTCAAAATGGAGCTGGTAATAAACACGCCAACGTGAACGACAATTTCATGCTCGGAATATTCGTCGGGCGAGTCAGCAAACAATCGAGTATTATTGAATGATTGTTGTTCTAACTCATGGAACGTGTGGGTGAAGAAAAAATTAATATACAGGGTGTTTATAGTAAAAATTAAAAATTTTAATTTTTAGTTTTGTTATGTTTCACCTGACAAATATAAGAAAATGTAATGAAAACACTTTGTATGTTTAAGAGTGCATGGCACTTGTTTTCTACGGATTTTTACAATGTGCGCATTAGAATCGTGAATATTCATGTGGGCGTTTGCATCGTCTTACCTCTACGCGTTGTAATTTATACACGATGCAAGTCGCAGCTTCTCAGAATGCGCACTTGAATGAAACTCAACGAAAATAAATAGATCGGTTTTCGCTGATGCGGTCATTACAATGTGTGATTCATAAAAATTTTATTTTTTAAGTTTTAAGCACGTTTTGCTTATTTAAAAAAAATATAATTACTTTTAATTGAGATACGAGTAGTTTTAAGGTTGGATAAAGTTAGTAATAGTAAGGATTAGTGTTTTTGGGAGTGTGGGGGGCGGTCAAAAGGTATTCACCGCTGCACATTTTGCTCCCGGGCTTAGTTTAGCTGTAAACTGGAAATCCGATGCCGTGGGTGGAAGATCTAAAGCCAGAAAGGTAAATTAACTGAGTAATAATTACCTTAACGACTCCGCAGAGACGCACAAATTGGATGCAGCAGCAAATAACAAACGTTGTAAACTTGAATACTCTCTTGAAGTCTATATATTATTGGTACGTATTGGTATCTATAATTGTTTTCACCGAGCGTAGTAGTAAAAATAAATGTGTTATGCACAAATGCGCAGAATCTATTTATAGCAAACAAACAGTATTCGACATGCATAGTTGGCATTATTCGCGCCGCGATCATTATGAATGCAACAAGCCGAGTAAATATTAGTTGTGCTGTGTGTGGATGTATATGTGTGTTTGACCTTGGGCGTCGAAACTACGATTCAACTACGTCGTATTAAATATAGTAGACTACGACAACAAAAATGGTGTTGTTGCACATAGAGTGCATTGAGTTTTTTTCTCTCGGGTGTGATATTATCACGATTTTATCACATAGTTAAATTTAGAGCGGAGTGTCGGTAATGCAGAGCTCTGTAATAGAGTTTTGATAGTTTATTCTATAGTTTTGTTTATTTCAAGCGTAATTTGCATATGGAATTTATAAAATCATTTTTTTATAGCTGTAATAACTTATGTGGTTAATGTGGAGTGTAATGTCGGTAAGGTAGAGCTCCATTTTTTTGATTTTAATGAAATATCTTGTATTTATTCAATAGTTTTGTTTGTTTCAAGCGTAATTTACATAAGTAATTATACAATATCTTATTTATTGCAGTAATAACGTATGTAATTAGCATAAAGTGTAATGTCGGTAAGATAGAGCTCTATTTTTTTTTAATTTTGATTTTCTACTGTTTTATGCCTAAGAATTGAAAATAAACAACACATGTGGTGAGATATAAAAAAGCCTCTGGTATATTAATAGAAGACGAAAAAAGCATCAACTGACGCAACTCGTACGCGCGCTGAATAAACATTGATTTATTCTGTTTACGCCTTTTTGACGCCACGCACGAAACGAAGCAAAGTCAAACACACATTCGTAGTGCTAGTTGTCGAGTGCACGGGAATTAAATAAATGCGTTCGTTGCGCTTTTTCGTGTGTAAATATTATCCGCATGTGTTTAATATTTACACGCAGCGGTTTAAGTAATCTACGGTTAAGTTAGGTTATGTTGAAAATTGAGTGTAGAGGAAATTCAACGTAATAAACGAGTGTTAATAAGTTGGCGCACAATTTCACGGAAATTAATGCGCCCGCGCGAGTGTTTTTAATAGCTATAAATAAAACAAGTTAGCAATTTTCGCCTCCCGCGCGCTTGCTCGCGAAAAAAGCGTCTGCTTTTTAATTTTCAGTATTTTTTTTTGTATAACAACTGCTTGTGAAAGGGTGGAGTATAAAAGTGGAAACAAAGAGCAGAACGCGCGCACGCTGAAGACGCCCGACATCGCCGCGAAAGTAAAGTGAATAAATAATGGCCAGACGGAAAAATTAAATCACATTTATCACATTTACAATACTCATTTGGCGTGTACACTGTGTGTAACTTGTTGTCGTCGTACTCGGCGGTGGAACTGATAGTAATATCAACATTCAACGTTGTAAAAAGCTTTTGTGTGCTTGTATGCATCTACAGGGACGTATTTTACACCCAAAAACTTAAATGTACTTATTTTGGTATAAAAAATTTCTGTAACACTCTGTATATACCCGAATGGCATCCGTATCGGTATCATAGTCATACTCATTCAGGTTCATGTGTGTCTGTGTCGGTGGGAGAGGCGCGTTGCTGAAAAGCGATGGTTCGTTGAGTTTTCCTCGGCTTTTTTCAACGGTCTAGTAATTCCCGACAATGATTACGCATTACAATGGACTCTCCCGGCCTTTGGATGTCTGCCGGCGATATCCCGACACTATAAATACATTTCCCATGTGGATGTGTGGTGCATTTTTAAAAAATCAGCTGTTTTCGTCGATTTTTAGGCATTTTTAACGCAAGTCGGTAATACAGAGCTTTGTATGTGTATGCGTATGCGTGTGTTAATTTCTCCAAAGGATCGATGAAGTTTTGAGTCTGCGGTATGGATCGAGTGACCTAAAGTCGTCGCCGGCAAGCTTACAAGACTGAACTCGAAAGACATCTTGAAATACCGGTTTGCGTCTGGTGCGTGCACGAGAAGCACGCATACCATGCACACATACACACATAAAAACATTTAGAAGAGTATTAAATAGGTTTTAGAGTAGTATGGATGCAATTTATCTAAAATCAATTCCTAGCTTTGTTTTAATGAATTTTTCCATATTTTCGCTTCTTAGTGGTGTGTTTTGGGAGTTGGCTGTTTTCGGTTCTCACGAGTAAAAACGCCCCGAAGCTCTCCTGCTGCTGCTGCTCTGCTCGTCGTCGTCCATCGGCGCGGAATCGTGTAGTCTGCATGCAAATTTAATTAAAATAAACACACTTTGGTGGCGGCGCCCCCGTGTTCGCAAACTTTGCGCGCCGTTTTTATTCGTTAATTTT